ACCAGAGAAGGCGTTTGCGGGCTCCCGATCCCCTTAGACGGGAGTCCCACACTAGGGACCCTGGTCATGGGTAGGAGTGGAGAGGAGGTGATGACGGGGGCCGCCTGCCCGCGCCCTCCTCCGATCTCAGCCGCAGGCTCAGACGCATGAGCCATCGGCGGGGGGGAGACGATCCTCCTGATCATCGAGGGTGAAGGGGGAGCCAAGGCCTCCTGCCCCAGCGCCCCCCAGCTCCGATGCTGCCGCGGTGGTTACCGCCACCATCGGGGAAGCAGGAGCCGAGGCCGCCTGCCTCGGGATCCCGCTCCTCGTACCGGCCGACCCACACTGGGCCGGCATGACCGACGCCGCCGAGGGCGTGGTGGGGTGAGGAGAAGGCGAGGCCACCTGCCCCAAAGCCCCTCCCCCACAACCCACCTTGCCCATAGACGTCGACACCGGAGTCGCGTCCGCCTGGGGCACCAGTGCAAGAGAAGCTCCCTCCAGGCTCCTCTCCGTAGCTCCGACCATAGTCCTGGCCTGGTGACCCGCAGACAAACCAGCCTCCCCCTCGAACTCCAATGGGGGGAGCGTGTGCTCAAGACAATCATCAGAATCTACCCGGTCACTCCATAATTTGGGAGGTGCCGAGGCTGGCTCAAAGGACCCAAAACGCAGAGTAGTCATGGGCACCGCTGGGGAAACCGCAGGCTCAACCCCGGTCCCATCCCCGTGTAACTGAGAAGAACCATTAGACCCCTCGCGCGTGGGCTCATCTGATGGTGCCCCCTTGGCCCCGGCATTGCCATCACTATCTTGCATGTCAACATCATTACCATTAACCGCTTCATTAAATAAATCCGTGTCCTCAAACTCGATGTCTAGCGGGAACACCACTCCCCTGTAAGTCCAGTTGACCTTATCGGGCACGAACTCAATATCCAGAACACTCACTAATATCCGGGCCACCCCATGGGCACGTGTGAAAGCCATATCCACTTTTTCTGTCTTCCCCGCCATAATGCCCATGCTAGCCACCACTCGAGCGTCCTGCAGAGGCTTATAAGGAGCTCCTGTAAACCGCAACCAGACCTGCGTAAGCGGCTTCCCCTTAGGCTCAACCTGCTTCCACTCATGGAACTCCAAGATACACGTAGTACCGGGAACTCGACACAGGCCAAAGCTCAACAATCTCTGCAAATCATCCACAGTTGGGAACTCAACCTTAAAAGACCTGTCCTCGATAAGCACCAGTTCCCATCGAAAATCCCCGGGAGCCAACTCCTGAAGCCTCCTCACAATCTGTGCCTCAGTCACCTCGCCCTGGGTTGTTTTCACAATCCCGGTAGTCAAGCTCAGGGTATCCTCCGGGACCTCTCTCACCGCCGGGGACTCGAAAAACATGAGCTCAGCACAATAGACTCCATAAATGTTCAGCGTCGAAGGCAGGTCCCGCAACAACGGGCACTCCCCGGAATCGTGTACCAGCTTGCCACACGTCTCGCACAGTTGGGCCACACATTCAGCAATGAAGTGACCCTTCTCACCGCAGCGGTAACAAAGCATCCTTTCCTTCTTTCGAGCATATTTGGACGCCCTTTCAGTAGCCTCCTCCACCGTCCCAGCCTCAGGAACCTCGACACTGGCCCCGGCGTTTACCTCCATCGGCTGGGGCTCGGTGGGTGTATGTTCATCCTCCGCTGTAGACGCCGCGGGATCAACTGCCCTGGGCGGGGGCGGTCAGCGAAACCTCCCACGACCCCCACCCCGACCACCACGATGGCCACGAAATCCTCCTCGCTGGCGGTGATCCGGGCCGGAAGCCCCCTCAACGAAACCACCTGCCGGGCCGAGGAACGGTCTCTCAGCAGACCCGTCACTCTGCCAGGCATAGCCCCGGCCGCCCCCGTGGATGAAGACCCACGATGCTGTCCCTCTCCATACGCGTCCGAACCGTCGTCCCCCCACTGACCTCGGGGCGGGTCAAAGGACTCTGTCGTGTTGGAGTTCTGTCTCGTTTGCAAAGATCCCGAACGATCCTGAGCAGGCCGCGCGACGTAGTGCGGTGGAGGCTTGGCACGAGGCTGGTTGCCGACAGATGGCGCAGCTCCTGAGACCGCACCACCCCGACTCGGTGCCGCCGCGCCCGGCGCCGAGGGCCGTGTCCCGCCCCGACCCGCGGCCGGTTGCACACCGGTCGTCACGCCCGGTGCCGGGGGCCGAGTCCCGCCCCGGCCCACAACCGTCGGCGCGGCAACCACTTCGGGTGCCGGAGGTCGCGGCCCGCCCCGACCGAGCAAAGGCAGCGGCGGCACTTGCCCTGGCCGGTGGGCGCCCAGATTGCCTGCTCCACGACCAGGGAAGCCGGGCACCGCGCCATCACTCGCCGGTGCCCCACGTCCGGTAGACGCAGCTGTCGGCGGCGCAGCCCCGCCCCGACCCGAGGGAACCCCCGCGACGGTTTTCTTGGCCGGCGGCGCTGCCGCTCCGCGGCCAACCATAGGCCGGAGCGGCATGATCCTCTTCGCCCGACCCGAACCACACGGCGGGAACCCCGGAGTCCCTCGCCTAAGAACCCTAGCGCTAGCAGTCGACGGCGCGATAGCAGAAGAGAGAGATGTCGCTGCGATCGTGCATGGGGGGTCGCTACGTAGGAGATTCAGGTCCGGTCTAGCCTGGGCCACATACCCAGCCATCCCAGGCCCATCTCCTCGCCTCCCCGACCGACACAAAGTCAGCCCATCGCAGCCCACCAAAAAATTCAAACGAGCCGATCGCATCTCAGCGATCTGGGAAGGCTCTGCGAACGCCATGGCCGCCGCCGGCGCCGGATGCACGCCCTTCCGCTTCCCGTTCTTTCGTTTCTTAACCGTAATCCATGACTCCGGCCTTATCATGTCGAGAAGAGTAGGATTCGGAAGGCATACCTTGGGAATAGGGCCCTTCCATGGCCTGACCGCCGATGCCGCATTTCTCCGATGAACGACACGTCGTACCAATTCCTTCCTCTCGTCCGGATGAAGCCCCACCCGCGCCGGATCTTCCACCGGCACCACCGTGTCTACGTTATTGGCGACCTCATCTTCATCATAACCTGCATGAAATAGACCGCCTATCAGATCCGAAGGCGTAGGTGACTGCGGCGAACGCATCGCCTTGTCTCCTTCTCCGGCGTCCTCCTCGTTGTCTGACTCCATTAGGGCCCAAAACCGGCCGCCAATGCCCGCCCGAGCCGCCGCGGGGAGGCATGGCGCGGCAGCGGCCTCCGCGTTCCCCGGGGGAAGCACCCTGGGAATCGCTCGGCGGCGCACGCTGTGTCTAAGCAATCGATCAGCCTGCAGAAGAAGAAGTAAGCCGTCGTCGTCGTCTTAAAATGGAAGAGAATTTCACTTCCCGGCCTCTGCACCAACTAAGGATGCATACGGCCATTTTAATATGAGTATCAAGATAAACATGGTCCTTAGATATTTTTAAATGAGTATCAAGATATTTCTTGATGAGTGGTTTCATCACACACCAAACTTGATCCTCAATAAACGGGGGAAAACCCCTGTGCATCACCTGTCAATTCTAGGAATTGAACTCGGGTCGTTAGGCTGCACAACCGCATGCCCAACCACTGAGCCAAGGCTTTTGTCGTTAGGTTTCTTTCACAGGTAAACATTGCAAAGTTACCGGTTGCTTCATACCTGCCTAAAGATTCATGGTTAGTACACAATCCTTATTTTGTGGATCTCACTGGTCATGCATGGGACATACCAGGCCGAAACCAACATGATTGATGTCTGTACTTAGCACATAAATCGACTAGCCAAATTTCCTTCTTAGCTTAAATGCTGGCCATGGTATGCTCAGTTAATATTTTGGTATATATCTACATTGTTATTCAGTTCAAATGATAAAGCTTGCATTGCTGATAAAATCATATAACTAACTACGATGTGGATCATATTCTTTTTAGTTGCGATCTGGCAAATTCACTCAGAATATTTTCGCTATTGACTGTTACGGAAGTACTATGTATTTATTTCTTCCAGTTTATACCTGCAACACTTTGATGTGAGTTAATGAGACGGTCATGCCAATTACATGATATGCTCATCAAGACCTCAACACTATGTAATACTCCTCCGTTCCTAAATATAAGTCTTTGTAGAGATTTCATCATGGACCGCATACGGATGTATGTAGATGCATTTTAGAGTGTAGATTCACTCATTTTGCTCCATATATAGTCCATAGTGAGATCTCTACAAAGACTTATATTTAGGAACCGAGGGAGTAGAAAGGATGTTGCTCTCCTCGAAATAGCATGCCAAGTTAGCACTACATAACAATTAATTAGGATTCCCAATTAAAAAACTATTTGAGCATGCACGTATGACGAGAACAAGCAATAATCGAGTAAACTGCCTCGCCTTTCCTTGCTGTCAGTAGCTTAAGAGATGAGAACGTGTTAGGCCTAGTTAGGAGCACCTAATGCACCCTTAGGTTGCAACGGATCACATGAGGTAGTTAATAGCCCTAGTGGAAACATGCCAGTGATCCTCACCAGACAAACACATCGTGATGTGTTGGAGCTCAAAGGTGAAGTCAACTGTTCCTCCACCACCAATAAGCAACAGCTAGCTCTTTCTCTCCACTAGCTCATCAATCTCATGATCTGGATCTGGATCTGACATCAAACTGCATGATCGTGCAGATGAGTTTGCTGCCCATAGTGGAGACATGACAAGGTGCTCATAAGCTCAACCAGAGGCGAATAGTTGGAGATTCTACTTACACTGATCAGACATACAAAAGAAAAATCAGCTTGTCGTGGAGATGGGTGGCAGCGGCACAACACCCCATCAGCGACGAGATTCCAGTTGTCTACAAGGTCAGCCATTGCATGGCTTGTGCTTATATAGAGAGGCAAACCATACCGGTTAAGCACCATTGCAGCAAAATTTCTTTTCTCTGAATCTCTCTTCCATTTCCAGATACATAGAAAGCACACCACACCATCCCCCATTCCAGCCATGGCTAGCCAGCAAAACCTCTTTTCTCTGAAGGCGAACATCTCTTCACCTTCGGCTACCATTGAAACAATGTTCGATGGCTTCAGGAGGTGTGTACGTGTGTACAATAGCATCGAGGAGATCATATGCAGCCAAATTATCCTTTGCCAGAGCAACAAAGGTAGGCTGTGGAGCTTGAGCTACAGCACTATCTTGCACTGATCGACATCCTAGAGAGCTTTTCTTAGCTCAAGACAAGCACTCAGGAAATTACATTGGCTCTCAGACCAAGATCCAGTCCTTCAGCCGTCTGACCAAGATGGGGCCAAAACAGTGGAAGAAGATCAACAAGAAATCTCCTTCAGCTGACGAGGGTTGCAGGGTGGTCAAACTGTTGGCTGGAGCAAGAGAGGTCGTTGCTTCAATGCTTCAGTCACCCAGGCGGCTCCTACTGAAGTAAATTGTGATGCAGATTTATAACAAGTGGTATCTTGTCTCTAAGTTCACTTCTATGCAACAAGGAGCAAATACTGAAACTGGAGTTTCGTTGTTCTTAGGGCAGTGCTTAGACTTTGTTGAGGAGATTGATCAGAGCAGAGTTTCTTTTCTGAATGCACCCACCTATTAGAGGATCAGTTTAATGTTTATGCTGTTGATAGCTTGGACAGCGTCTTCAATAATAAAACAACTCTGGAGCATTTAACTCAGATGGATCTTCAGAAAATATAGTTACTCAGAAATGCTCATCATTGCTGGCCGTCATACAAGCTAATACCATATTGTTCAAACCAAGTTTTGGAATGTGTCTCTACAAGATGGCCATGTTATTCAGATGCCATGTGTTCCTCAGCAACAAGCAAAGGATCCTTGTACAGTGGATCTTTCTATCCACGGCCAAATCAAGCCAACTCGAATATCCAAGGTTGAGCAAGCAAGTAGCATGGGCTGTGCAACACACCACACCTATTCAAATCAGTAAATGTATAATAACTAGATAACACGTATGCACCAACCCATACTCGGTTAGGACACCATACAAAATATTTAGAACACACAATTATGTCAAGATCCACCAATAGAGCAAACCATCCGGCTGATTCTTGTCGCCAATTAATGGAACATGACAATGTGATATCTCATTGGAAGAATAGCTACTGTACTAAAGAATTTGAACTACACATGGGCTAAGATTCCAAATGTTGCACCAGATCTCGCAAACTTGGTATACACAATTGTGGAGATGAGTTGGCATGATTCCTTGTGTCTACATTCGAATGGCGCCGTATCATACAGTTCCTCTGTATAAATAGGCCTCAGAAGAAGGCTAAACACATCAAACCGAAAGGTGCTCTCTCATTCTCATATCTTCAAACCTCAAGTACTCAATACAGAGGAAAGAGTCTTAGCAACAGATATGGCTTGCCATCTTAGATCAGTTAGTCTGCCTTCTAGGCCTCACACCAAGGTCGAAGAGGAGATGCACAGCCTAGAGGCAAGCATCTCTTCACCCTCCATGACCATCGAGACAATCTCTGATGGTTTGAGGAGGCTTGGAGACATCTACAACACCATTGAAGAGATCCTGTGCCTTCCTAGCAACTAAATTTGCTCTTCCCAGCAAAGGAAGATGTTGGAAGGTGAAACCGAGTGCTCCCTTGAGCTACTAGATCTCTGCAACGCCATGCATGAGGACTTCACCGAGTTGAAGGCCATTATCCAAGATCTGCAAGTGGTGACCAGAAAAGGAGATGACACCGCTGCTCAAGTCAAGATCCAGTCTTACACCCGCCTAGTGAAGAAGGCGAAGAAACATTTCAAGAAGGTCACGAAGAAGGTTACATCTGACAAGAAGGACTACAGGATGGTCAGGCTGTTGAGCGAGGCTAGGGAGATCACCACCTCTCTCCTCGAGTCAACAGTACACCTCTTGTCCAAGCAAATCGCAGTGCCAAAATGGTCTCTCGTCTCCAAGGCATTCCAGAAGAACTCGGTTGTCTGCAAGGAGGAGCAGTTGCAGGTCCTAGAGTGCAGTGTTGGAGATCTTGAGACTGGAGCAGGAATTCTGTTCCGGAGATTGCTCCAGAGCAGAGTTACTCTCCTAAACATTCTTAGCTCATAGACACTCTTCAACATCTGCTACTCTTGCACCGTGCGATTGGCTTCCACCTTTTAAAGGATTGCTGATCTTTCTCAGTGTGTGTGTATATATATGTAGAAATGTACAGAATACTCCATACAGAAAGGAAACAAAAGTTTTGATCGAACTCATACTGTGAATTCAACCTTTGCATGCTTCTGAGATTCCGTGCTGGTCCATAACTACCTACTTGTTTGTACCTTGTATATTAATGTGGCCACGTTGCCTCACACCTGCTTAATCTCATGATTTTGTTTTAGCATCTTTCCCTTACATGCCAGGTCCAAACTACAAGGCAAGCTTGCAAATGGATAACATGCTGGCTAGATTTTCTTCACGGCGACATAGCCTGGCCTGTTATTGCATTGTTTTTGTTTGCACCCAGCATCTAAAACACAATTGCAGTGAAAGAGATAACAACTTCAATTTTTCTGTTGGCAAGGCTGTGGTGGTTACAGAACAATCTGAAAATTTTCTAGAATTCTCGTGTACTTCTGATGATACTCAGTACTGGTATCCATATCATTTGAGCACATACATGACAGTGCAATATGGCGTGGCTGCGCACTACCTTCATTACTGACACCAACCAAATAAGTTCAGTGAGCGAGAAATTATGTGCAGAGCACATAAATTTTAAACCGAGCGCGTGGATTTAGAATAACCTGATAAGATGCAAATTCTGACGACTCAATAGTTTTCATTGGCTCCATCAGCTCAGGCGGTACAACCCAGCTAGGTCACAAGGCATGGCAGCAGACAGAGAACTAAGAGCTAACTAGAAGCATACCACGGTGGCTTCAAAAGATAATCGCGGGGTGATGAATCTCTTGCTTGTGCTTCAAAAGATAATCTCGTCCATGCTCAAACCCTCATGGGGTGAAGCCTTGGACTGGAGAGGTTGGGTGGCTGAAAGATTGGCTTGAACCAAGAAGTAGAGGACATATTTAAAGGTTTGGCATGAATGTTGGAGTAGAATGTTATTTGGCTCAGCATAAGACTTGAATGTTTTCTCTTAAGTGGATATTTGGAATGAAACTCTGAACTGGTGGGATAGGGTATACCCAAAAAGGCTTTTGTCTCGCTTTATATATAAAGCACTGATCCACAATCATCACAATACAAACTCATGCCACCACCACACACGACACACACACCCAATGCAAGATACAAGGGTGCCGAGCACTGCCAGACCACCCCAACGAATACCAAGCCACTACACATGCGCGAGGCTGATCCGCTTGGAGCCAACGGAGATCTCCAATCCTCTGAGGAGAGGTGAGATGGAAAACAATGGAACAAGGACTCCAAGATGGTGCCTCCTAGAAGGGAACAACCACTGATAGCTGCCACCATCCGATCCCAAAGATCGAGTTTTCACCCGGAGCAATTCGAAGGAGTAAGGGCACCACGACGGAGCCTTCATGAAGGATACGGTGTCCATGGACTCCGCCGCTGTCGGCCAAATCAAGATTGGGCAAGTGATGTACCCCGGCACGCCCACCCCTCCGACGCATCCTAGCTCCGCCAACCACCAGCGACCACCGACCTACGTGGCCATGGCCACTCGCCCGCACCCGAGGCGCAAGTTCCGCCCACGAACACCGTGCCTCCCGCCGCCAGGGCCGCCGCCCTGCATCCAGACACCCCAAGACCGACCAAAGTGACCGGCTTTGGGCCAAAGGGCACACTTGGCCGAACAGACCGCAGCATACGTCCAGCCTCGAACAACGCCGGAGCCATGTCAGCCCCCACACGCCCGGGGAACGGGGGAGGAGGGGGAGTGGACGGATCCGGGCCAGCACACCCCTTTTCCAGCAATGGGTGGCCCGAGCTCGTCGGTGCCTCCCATCCCTCCAGCCTGCCTCCCCACGGGACACATCCTGTGTCGCCCCACCTCGATAGTGAACGCAGCTCCAGGCGAGGCCACCAACGTACACCCGCCCACCGGCAAGAGGAGGCCCGAAGGACCACCGTCAATCGCAAAGGAAGCCCACCGAGGAGCCCAATTGCGCTGCCTGCCGTCGCCCAGCCGCTGTAGCCTGCGATTCTGACCGGCCCGCCCACCAGCCCGCCGCTGCCGTGGGGCACCACCACCCGCCGTGGCCATGGCAGGGAGGAGACCAGCAGCCTGCGCCGCCCTCGGCACGCGCCGCCCGGCCCCAAATCTGGCCTTGACCTCGTCAATCCCGGCGACCAAGGCACGCCCTCCACCACCACGCCGCCCAACGCGCCACTGCAGCGCCGTCGTCGTCGTGCTGCTGCACCCGGCGACTAGTGCAGCACCCAGGCCCGGGTGAGCCGCCCCGCGCCACGCCACCCGCGCGAGGGGAAGAAGAAAACCCCGCCGCCGCCGTCGGCCGGGCTTCGCCCAGTCGCGCCCCTGGCGGCGGCGAGGGAGGGGAGGGGAGGAGGGACGCCCCACCGGCAGCTAGGGTTGGCCTCCCGTGCGCCCGCGGGGGCGTCGCGGGAGGAGAGGGAGTCTAAAACTCGGATAGGGTATATATAAGCTAGACCCAGAAATCTGGTCGTTACACACTTTTTTGTACAACTTCGAGTCACCAAATGGTCAGCTCGGAGGCTTCAACTGAACTGCAAAGAGGTACTTTTGTATAGGCGTTTTAAAAATCTACTCAATTTTAGTGGTCAAGTTTTAAGCCTTTCTACCAAGGTTGCTTAGGTGTCAATGATTATCTACGAGTGTGGATAGACTAAGTCGACTAGCGAGTGTCTATGGACTCTCTTGCCCACAACACGATGCACCAAAGGAGATAAGTAAAGGGACACTATTTCTTGGATCAGACTGTTCCGGGAGATATGTTCCTTGTAACTATACGAGATCGGATTGTGGGGGATAGCCGAAGATAGTTTCCTAGTTTACTAATAGGAGGATGCCTATATAAGGCCTCAAGAGCCCTTTGTAGGTAGGGGATATCCAATCTACGACAACATATATGTTGTAAGCTCGTATCAATATACACAAAGCAAGGCTAGGACTATTACCCATCACAAGGGCCTAACCCTGGATAAAACCATCAATGAACTGCGGCTCCTTGCACCTCCGCGCCACGCGGCTCTGCTCCTCAGCATGGTTGAAACACCCCCCGCTGCCCCTATCCATGCCTGAGCGAGAGATAAGGGCCCGTTGCAGCCGCGATGGTTGGCCGCCGGCTAGGGTTTGGCACCCGTGGCGGAGCTAAATCCGGTAGTTCTTTAGTTAGGGGATCATAAGGTAGATGTCTTGGAGCGATGGTAACAGGGGCACAAGTTTTACCCAGGTTTAGGCTCTTCGAGGGGATAAAATCCTATGTCTTGCTTGTGAT